GATGCAACAAAACATCTGCTATATTGACCATCACTGAGGTTGGGAACATTTGCTTCAGGTCAAGACTACATTTTTAGCTGCACTACAGGGAAAAACCAGGAACTCACTATTGCAATACGCTGGAAAAAAAATACGCTTGGCTAGAAAGTCCCTCACTGCAGGACTTCTGTTACTTTTAAAGAGACAAAGAGCAGACTAATTGAAGTTAAGAATTGTCTGTTCAGGATCCAGGCTGTACAATGGAAGGAATTCAGGTCTGAGAAAAGCAGCATTCCCCCTCTCCTTGGAAAAATTTCCTGAGAAGATCAGGGAGCCCTTGAAGAGGCAGTGTGAGACCCACTATTAGACATTTGGGACACCTCAGGCTAAGCCAGGCCAGTTACAATCGAGTTGGTAGAAGAAGCCACTCACTTCATGAGGCTGCCTGGAGGAGAACTTTGGTTGCTGCCTTACTGATCCTGCTACTTGTTCTCCCAAAGGATTTGGAGACCAGGTAAACAGGCATCAGAGAAACATAACAAGCATCCCAAGAACCAGTCTATAATACCATATCTTCTCTGCAAAATGAGGAGTCATAGTGTCTCCAAACCCAGGTGAAATCCAGGTACCCATCACTTACAGAGACATGCTGCAGAATGGATTCAAATACCCACAGACCACACTGAGCTCTGCTTCTTTCTACTCCCTTGCAAGGACTTCAGACTTAGGCTGGTGATGTCTCACTACTTGTCTCCATCACAAAATTGTCCTAATCATTGGATTTTAGATAACCGAGATCAGACTTGCTTGATCTGGAAAGATAGATATATATATATATACATATATATATGTATATGTACTTACCCACCTTATTAGCTCATCATCTTGGCTGGTAGCTTTTATCCTTAAAATTTATTCCAGAAATTTAGAGTATTGAATATTGGTTTTGATATTCAATATTTTATTGAATATTTTTATATTGGTCTCATAAACAACAAATAGCATGTTAAACACTGTTGCAGTCCAATGCAACTCTTCATTAAAAAGAAAATAATGTACATTTTATATGCTTTATGCTTTTTAAAGTATTGATCTACTGTATTGATCTTGTCCATTTTAAGCTACTGCTATAAACTCAAAATATTATTTCGTATTGTCACACTGGAATGTCAGCATCTTCCTATTTCCATCCAAACAAATAATTCAATTCAACCCATATAAACCACCCCATCTGAAAAAGTTACAGCACTCTTTTTTTACTTCACAAAGACTAAGGCTTTGCTAATTTTATAGTGAGTGTGATTTTTAAAACTGTGTACAATTCAAATGGAAAGAAACCAAATGGCTTTCCTCTCGCTAACAGGGGCTTGTGGAACAGCACACTGCACTTTGTTTCTGTTACTGTACCAGTGTTTCAACTTTCACCAGTCTCCATGCCAGCAAAAAGACACAATAAAGGAATTCAGATTCAGTCAAGGTTTACTGTGTTCTTTTCAAACAGAAGAGTACGGGTGCTGCTAAAGCCACAGAAGAACATTTGTAGCAAAGGTTTTACCACTGCCAAATACTATGCTAATAGTAAAGCTTTCAAGGAGAGAGTCAGGGCCAGCCATGCTCAGAGGATGATTAAGATATGCATCAGACTAATGAAGAATGGAGCAGGAAATTCAGGAATGGAAAAAGCAGCAATCTCTCTGCTGCTCCAGAGCAGCTTCCTTACAGTCACTTACCAAGGAGTGGGCAGAAGTAATCCCTTTCCAGTATTTACAATTTCACTCAAATTTAGCACAATGCTATAAATCTTGCCCAAAAGCTATTAAGACAATATTTTCTTCCAAAGAGCTTTTCAAAGGGATATTTAATTCTTTAAATAAAATATGTTTTAAATGCGAGGATTTTTATTATGTCAAAATAATTTACACCTATGTGTTTACAGCTACACAAGAGGATATCTGACCAGAATTTGGCAAGTATTTACCAGCCCTCATCTGGGTACGTAACACACAAATGCAAATACCTCAGAGGAAAAATGGAGCTGATGTATTTCTTTAAAAGTGTTGTTTGTTGGCTTTTGGGTTTTTCGAAGTGTGTGTATATAGATTGACATGAAATATTTTAATGCCTCTTTATTTAAATTACATCTAGAAAGGACAACTTCACCTATTTACATGCAAACAAATACTTCAGACATCCCCATTACCACCTCCCTTGATACAACTAAAACAATGAATATGCAAATCAAGAACACCTGAAAGCAGAGCTCCAATCTACCCAGCTCAAAAAACGTAATCATAATTGTTGCATCCTTTATTTCTCTTTTTTCTCCTTCATCAGATCTCTTCTCCTCTCTTCTTGCTGATCTCAATGGAAAAATATGGAATTCCCAGTGGCCTACAGACATTTGAATGTGCTGGAGAGAAGACATGTGTCCCCTTCTACAGTTTTCTTACTCTCCTTCATCTCAGGAGGAGGAAGACACATTCAGCACATACCAGAAAGCAAAAGCTTGAGCTGTGTGTCCTCCCAGAGCTGTCATTGCTCCTGCCACATGGAGGAGGCAGAGAAAAATGAAAGCTGGGCATCAGGCACATCCCTTGCAGGGGAAAACTGGAAGCACATGAGCAGAGCAATAAGCAGCCTTTCAAAGCTCAGAGAACAACAGAATTTCTTTTCCTTTCACTGAAAATACAGAAACAGGATGTGATTGAGTTTCCCATCACTGCAAAGGGCTCCCATGCTGCCAGTGTCACAAGTGATGCAGGTTTTCAGGCAGGTGGCCACTGCAGGAGGGCTCAACTACACCAAATGGAATGCAAAGCTTTGCTTTCAAATGTAATTCACTCCTTATTTCCAGGGGAAAAACAAAAAAGCAAAAATGAAGTACTAGGGAAAATACTCTTACCATCTGACACAGCTGGTCTTAGTAAAGAGAGTAAGAGGAAACTTTCATGCTAGAAAATCTCTGACATTTAATATCAGGGCCATAAAAAACTCAGAAAGTACCCTAAGTGTTGAGAAAAACAATGTGCAGTCCACTGAGATCTTCCAACACAGGCAGAACCTGAGGTAAAATCATAAAAAACTCAAGTCCAAGCACAGAGCCCAGTGAAAGCACTTCCCTTTTCTCCAGCCAGAGTTGCCTCATATCACAGCTGCAGTGGAAGGAGCCTTTCAATACACCACAGCAATCAGAACCAGAGCGGGCCACTACGATTTTTTGCTTCTCCGCAAATGCCACAATTGATAAACAGCACAATTTCCAGCTTCCCTACAAAAAAGCAAGATGTTCTGCAGCATGGTGAACAAGCAGTGAATGCTGTATACATGTCCATTTTAAGAAGTCATTTACCAATATGTGTCATTGCACAATATGACATCTGGGTGTGAGTTTCAGGTTTTCTGCATTCTGCACAGTAAGAAATGGTTTATTTTGGTGACTCAAGTGCACCCCTCTCCTTGTTTCTTATTCTATCCCTGTTTATCATTTACAAGACTACCTCAAACTTTACTTCACCCTTTGAATTTCCACTACAAAGTTAACAACTGATTATGATTCCAGTGCAAGATAAATATACAATTCACAGAAGAACAAAATTCTGTGAATATTACTTTATGCTACATTTCAACAACAACAAAAAAAATCAGGAATTTGTTTCACCATCAACTCCTAATATTTCCATACAGCAGTGTATCATGCAAGACATTCAGTAAGTGTCAGCCACTGTGATTAAAAACTAGGTTACTGCAGCCTTCACTGGATACACAGGAAGGGGACACAGAGGAAAGGGTGGCTAATCTAATAATTCACACAAAGGAGCAAAGGTCACAGATGGATCATTACCCCTTGAAGACAAGAAGCAATTACTTTTATAACAAAGATGAATTTCAACATTAATAATAATAATAAGATAATAATTGCTTTTAAAGAGTATGTCACAGAAAAATAGTGGAGGCTTCTTAACATTATTATGGTGAGTACTCACGCACATATTAAAAACTTAAACAAGATTTTATTGTTTACTGAACCTTCCCTCCTTCAGACAAATTTGTAAATAGCCTTTTCTGAGCTACTCCTTTTCCACTTCTTTAAAACAGGTTACAACATTACTGTTACAGAAATCTAATATTTCTGATTAATAATCCATTAAATGCATGCTCTAGGTATTTGCAAAAACCATACAGTATCTTACAGTTGTAAGGAATTAATGAGTTGGTTGTACATCTAATTCTACAATATCTTGGCAGTTTACTCTAGGGTCACAGATAAAAGTCTGTTACTCTTATTCCATGAGGACCTTTCTCTCTTGATGAAAAGTTCAGCAAGAAGTAGACCTAACAGTATGCATAATACAAAAATGTTGCTGTATAGAGCCAATAACAGTTTTCATATGCCTAATATATCAATTGCCATGTTTTACTGAGTATGGGACATGATGAGAATGAGGTTCTAAAAGAGCTATTGAAAGCCATTGTGTCTTAATCTGTTTCTCTAATATTTTGAGAAATTGAGGTTTAAAGTGTGTCCAGACATGGATTTCAGCTTAAACTCCCCTGAACCAGGCAGCCTTAACATAAACCTCATTACCTATGCAATGTAAATACTACCTAAATAATGTCATCATATGCAAGAGCTGCACGACTTTCAGTTGCTATTTACAATGTCTGCTTTCAGGACACAAATCTTGCTAACTTTTTAAGAAAAAAATCATCATGCTCTGTAAAATATAGACCAGGAGCACTGTTAACCATTTACATGCCTTTAAAACCCCCCTTCTAAAACTCCAAAACTTTTCCACGGTTCTCAATCTTTTTAAGGTTGTTGTATTCTTTAAAAAAAAATGTCTCTCCCTTATATACCAGAAAGATCCTAAGGTAGCCATGAAGGCCACCTGAAACCTGTTGACAAGGATGGGGAGGAACCAAGAATGGGTGGGTTTTGCCCAAGAGGGTGATGTGGAAAAAGATAAGCTGATATCTTTCACATTATTACTTTGTTAGGGAGACTATGTCACATTGCTCACCCATGCTCATCTTAATAGGTAAATTTTCTCTGCTTGCAGCCTCCACAAGGTGTCTCCTGGCCTCCATCACAGCCTCCTTTTGTTTGAGGTTCATGAAAGACTCCCAGAGAGCTTTGGCAGCTGGATCACTGTAAGAAAATGACACGACTATAGTAAACATTGCTTGAATAATGGAGTAAACTTACATCAACATTTATGTTTTGAGATGAATGCTTCTACTTACTAATCTCTCAGGTAGGGAGGATACAAGCAAAAATAAAGTGATATAAAATCTTGACTATTCTTAGCAGAACAGTTGCTACAGTTTTACAGAAAAGCTAGATTTTTTTGCTACCAATTACAAAGCATTGGAATTCACATATAATAAATAAGCATGTCATTCTAAAAGTAACCACTACTGTTCAACCATGAGAATATCAGAAACAGTCCAAACTTCTTCAGTTACTAAAAAGCTATGGAAAGGATGGGCTCTAACATCCCCATGAGAGTTTATATCCCAAAGTTGGCACTCCCAGTGCTGAAGGCTGCTGTCATAATTTTGATGAACTACTGTCACGTTGAGTTTCATGGATTCTCCGTAAGTGAAACGAATAATCCAGAGCAGAAATTAACTGTCCTTATGATTTCTGCAATTACAGATTTCCTTTTTGTTGTTGTTGCTGCTAAACTTATATTAGGCATTTGTGTAGCTCATCTGCACTCAGCTCCCTGTCAGTCTTCTCCTTCCTCCAGGACACTGCAGTTGTTGCTAGTGTGAATGAATTCAGTGTTCTCTCAGTGGTAAGGGAGGACAGGGCAGGAAAATCCCTTGCTTGGGGCTAAAGCCACACATTGGGATTAACTATGTTGATTTTTTTTTTTTTAATGTATTTTTTGTTTTAAAGGAAAAGCTTCCGTCTGTTTTCTCCTCAGGAGACATTTAACTCCTAAAGGCATTTTGATGTCATTTACAACATGCTTATAAACATGCCAAAACAAGCTTTGTTTCACGGAAATAAAAATCCGTAATAATTCATTTGATACCATTCCAGAGCAGCTGTTCTTATGTTCTGCTGCAACAGCAGGGCTGTATTGAGCAAATCTGTACTGTCTTCCAAACCAGGTAAGAGGATCACCAAGCCCCACTTCTGACATCCAAGCAACCCACATCCTCTGTCAAAGCCTGAGTGGGTGCAAGGACTGTGGGAAAAAGGTTGAGTTATCCTTCTTCTGAACAGATCACAAATGAATAGGAAGTGCAAATTTTACCCTACTGCCATGAGTGACAAAGAAAAAAATAAAAATCAGATGACCTAACACAGTCTTTCCATTTCTCTTTCATACAGTGCCACTTGACCTCCTTCTAAACACAGAGGCAGCAGGCAGCACCTCCCAAAAGCAGCTGGGGCACCTGCAGCAGCTCCCTCACCTCCATCATCAAGTGCAATCTGAGCACTGCTGCTGTGACTTTTCATGGACAGCAGCTCCAAGAAGATTACTCACAAGAAAAACTACAGTAATATGTAACATACAATAGTGCAAGAAATGAGAGATTTCCAAAGCAACTGGATGCTTCAATATAATATAAAAATTTCTTTATGGAAAGGGTTGTCAAGCACAGGTACCCCAGGGAAGTGGTGGAGTCACCATACCTGGAAGTGTCCAAAAATTAGGAGAATTGACACCTTGTGGTATGGTTTAGTGGGCATGGGAGTACTCAGTCAAAGGTTGGACTCGATGATCTTGGAGGTCTTTTAATAGCTCTGATTCTGTGATCCTCAGGTATGCTATTTTTACATATTATCTACTAAATCTTCTCCACACCCAACACCACTTGTAAATGCACTGTGTTGATCCTGTTCCCATCACATTCACAGGGGATGTCTCGCTGTGGGATGTCATTTACACCTGGGCCTGAAGTTTGGATTTTATAAGGCCACTGCATTGTCTGATAACTAATCCCTTCCTGAATCTACAGTTCCAATACCAAATCTATAGAGAGCAGGAACTGAACCTGAAACAGCAGTAAGCTAGGTTTAAAAATACTTTTTTCTGTATTTGAAAGAAAAAAAAAAGTAAAATTCCTGTAGAACATCTTTAGCCTGTTCTCAATCTCACAATTCTCATCACCATAAATGTAAGCAGAGTCTCACACAAACAAGATACCAGGAGCTGAGCCTTTCAAATAAAGGAAAAAAAGCAACATAAGGAAGCTAAAATAAAAGCCTATCAGATTTTCCACAGGTTTCTGTAGTCTCATCAATCTCACTCCTATACTTCATAAAGGTACTTAGCAAACAGTAAAGTGTGGAAAACTCATCCTAAAAGCATCTATAGAAGTCAATAGAAGAGTGCATGTGATAAGGTTGCACCATTTTTCCATAATCCTTGCTTGCTGCTCTTCCTTTCCACACCATGTGTGGATCAGTCCTGTCACTTTAGGTGGCAAGTCTTAGAAAGCAACATGTATCATACTATTTTCTATCATCACTACCAGAAGTCCCTGTTTCAGCTGGTACTTCTAATTGTTAATAAACTATAATACCCCTCCAAAATAACAGACCCATTATTTTAAACTAAACAAAGAAACAAAATATTAAGAATGAGTCATACTAATGCTTTAGGAAAGAAAAAAAAGGGAGGGGTGTGGATTTACTTTTTGCTTTTTATATTCTTTCTTCGTCCTTTAGCCACAGTAAGTTTTTCTTTAATCTCAAGAACCAAAGTTTGCAGGACCCCTGAGAGCTGCTTTAATACATCAAAAATAGCAAAAAGCAAAACAACTGTGGTACAGCCTTAAAGGAAAGGAGAGTCAACCACACTCCTGTATGCTACATCTCTGTCATCCAGATTTTCTGTAGACATTTTTTTTCCCACTGCTTTGCAGAATAATTAGTGGTTTAGGTATCATATATATAACTATATATAAGCAGGATGAGGTCAATCTATATCAATAGGTAACACAGTCAACTGATTAGGTCAATCCAGAGCAAACAACTCTTTTTTTTTTAATATAACAGGGAAAAATAGCCACAAAAGTACTTGTATTTTTCCTGCTGCTAACACTTTTCCTGTTCCCCTTCTATTACCCTTTCCAATAAATGTTTTTGCTTTGAAAAACACCCACTCTTAACCTTCATCAGTAACAAGACAGGAATAACTGCTGGGAGTGAGTCAGTAGGACACAGTACAGGGCTCTGGTGTTGCCTCTTGCCTGATCTGAGAAGTTACCACAGCATTTTCCTTTTAGAGGAAAATAAATTATCTTATCTTACCCTTTTGGGGAAACATTTGTCTGCAACTGCCTTCCAGCTCTTGTCATGGTGCCCTTCCCCTCCACTTTTTTCCCATCTGCAGTTCCTCTGCTTTGGTGCAAATGCCTCAATCCAGTGACACTGGTAATCAGTGATTTCTATGGAATCCAGTACCCCAATTCAAATTTCGCCCTTGTCTTGCATTCCTTGACTTCCCAAGAACTATGCATTGGTTTTACACATTATCTTATATTATATAATACACATTGTCTTATAATATATTTTACACATTAAAGTCAACCTTTGCACTCTGAAAGTAGCTTTCTGAAATGAAGAAGTTTTTGGGGTTTTTTTAAATATTCAATGCATTACAAAAACCTTAAAAGATATTGTCTGAATGGTGATGGTTTGCTTAAGAAAAATAGATCCTTTACAGTTACACAACAGTACATCTCAGGAATTCAAAAACACCTTTCAAAATAAATGTCACAAAATTAGGTAAATATTACAGTACACTGTAATATTTACCTAATTTTAATAGAAAAGCACACTGGTGTGCTTTTCTATTACAAAATGTTTTGCAGGGCACAGCAAACCTGACAAAGAGAAGAGAACACTAAAATGCAGGGGCCTTTCCAGAAAATCAGTTTCACCAGCAAGGGTACAGTTTTGCTCACAGATTTGATACCCTGTCCATTTTTTTTATCGCTATAGTCCTTGTATTGTACCTAATCAACCAGTTATATCAGAAAACAGAATTTAATAAAAACAAGCATAGCACTAACTTGGTAGAAAATTTATTAAACAAAAATATCACATTAAGTCCTGAGAAAAAGCGTAAGTCTCTGAAAAGCCCCACTGGACACAATTTACAAAAAGCAACCTTTGACAGACATCTCATAATTGCAAATTTCTCCCTTTCCCTCACAGACAAGCTTTTTTAATGAGACATTCTCTGTTCCGAAATTAATTAAAATTTAAGTGCATATAATTTCTACTTAAAAACAACAATGAAAAAGACTATAAAGAAAGAGGGAGAAATCTAGAAAAATAAAAGATGCAGCTCCTCTACTTCTGGTAATTGCATTCCAGTTTTCAAAGCTGAATCAGGAAGACAGAGGGCAAAAGGACCAAGTAATCAGATCCATAATCTATACAAATCCTAAAATGAGACACCAGCTGGCAATTGTGCCAGGAAAAAGGTGCTGATGAGAACCAGTCAGAGAGACTGGGATGTTCCATGCTGACTAAAGCTTGATGCAGGTGCTTCAAGGAGAGATAGAAAAACAAAGATCAAAATCTTTAATAAAAATATTTAGCCATGAGGTGGCGAACTAGCTGGCTTCTCAAATTTATAATATCCAAAGGAAAGACCACACAATGAAATCTGTTGTTTACAAGATGCAGGGTGGAAAAGCCAAAACCCTGAGCAGAAGTAAGGGTACAGTATGGTAGGCAGGTTTTTTTGGTGATGGTGCACTAGCTTCAGCAATACTTACTCACTGTGGGGGAACTTGCTCTTGTTCCCATGGAACTCCTTTCAGTAACGTGTTCTGATAACTAAACTATTTTGTTTGATCTAGACATTTGCAGGTTCATTATCAAATGCCTAATCTTGCACCAATTAAAATAATTGTGGCTTACTCTCTTGATCCGGTCTGGTCCAGTCCTGCAAGGACAACACTGCCAAGTTTATCTGACAGACAGAAAGTATCCCTATCCCTGATCATCTGTAGGCTTAGAATCAAAGCTATTCATGTTGAACAATTTGGGGAGAACAGGGGAGGTTGGTGGCACTGGGATGTGCTATTACCCAGCTGGAGGCAGTAGTCTGGAAATAGGTGAAATCAAGCACCAGTCAATGGAGAGTAAACTCTCAGAGCAGATGCAAAACT